TGACACACCTACTCCCATTACCTCAGTCACTGAATCAGTCCATCTCATCCAGGGTCTTCCTCTCTAGTGCTGTCTCTTCACCTGCCCAAGCATGATATCCCTCCAATGACTGGTCCCTCCTTACAACATGTCCAAAGTGGGTCAGACAACGCTTCAGAATCCTCCATGGAGCAGCCTGGTCTCACCCTCTCTAGGACGAACCTGTTTATTGTCCTAGTAGTCCATGATATATTTATTACTCTTCTCCAGCACCACAGCTCAAAGGCATCAATTCTCCTTTTTTCATCCCTAGTCATTGTCCTGGATTAGGCACACCATAGTCTCCAGACTGACACATATTTATTTTTATATTAAACATTAAGTTGTTGGTTATTGGGGTGGGTTTCTTTTTTAAAGGATATACTTGTAGACTGCATGGCATTACATCCTACAAATGTAGTATTATTGTGTCATTCATTAGCTCAGTTCCATTCTTCTTACTGTGTGGCCATGGGCAAATTACTTAACCCGCTGAGGCTGATCATAAGAGAGAATCAGAAGTCAGACTTTATAAGACTATTTTGAAACTTAAATAAGATAACCTATTACATGTAAGTTATTCATCAGAATACCTACCCCTTGCTTGGCCATGGCAATGTTAGCTCCCATCCCTTTAGTTTTATAATAATTTACAGAAAGTTACCTAGTCTTTCAACCACCTAGAACATATAGATTCTCTAGCTATAGAGTGAGAATGACAATGTCTCTGAGACAATTCACTAAATATGCAAAGATATTTTACACCTTTTTTAATATACAAAAGTGGACTGGGGTGGGGGTGGGGAATGATACACCAATGAAAGAATTTTTTTTCTTAAAGAGAAAAGCGAACTTGGGGTGGTGAGTGGGAAGGGAGGAAAATGTGCAACAATGAATGAATGGAAATCCAAGTTCTCTATAAACTTTCATTAAAGAAAAACAGGGGCTCAACTTTAGAAGTTAATGTCAAGTTTTAAATATGCACTTGGTTTTGAATGTAAAGTTACTTAAAACAACAAACAGTTCTTTAAAAAATTATCTCCCAGATTCATTCTATGAAGCAAACATATATTTGATACCAAAGCCAAGTAAAGATACCATCAAAATAGAAAACTAGGCCAATATCTCTTATGGAACCTAGCGGCAAAAATCCTGAAAAAAATCCTGGCCAATAGAATCCAAAGATACATAAAAAAAAATAATCCATGACCAAGTGAGATTCATAATAAGAAAAAAAATCACAAATATTTCCAAATGAAAGTATAAAAGATATTCCAAATTATTTAAAATGATCCATGCCCTTGTTTCCTTTCAATTTAATAAATTTGTGATTCTCAACCTGGGGGAAAAAACCCAACAATTTCCAAGTGTTATTATTTTGAAGAAAGCCTCTCCCTGAAGTGATCTCTGTTAATCTGGAAAGTGCATCAGACACCACCTTGTCTTCTCTCCTGAGCACATGGCTGGCACGCAGAGTGTTCACGTGACACAAGCTCTGGGTTCAGCAGATGTTCAGGACTGATTCTGTGCACTCGGTCACATCTTCTGCTGAGCTTATCAAGTGCCTCTGCATTACTTGGGCGGGAGGAGGATACCAGCTCCCTATTTTGGCTTGGGCGGGCTGTATGGCAGCAGGACTGATAGCAGTAACTGTTCAGCCTGGGCACTTAGTATAAAATTCACCTGCCTGGGTTTAAATACTGGCTCTATGACTTGCCCCCTGAGACTTGGGGAATGTTCCTTTACCACTTAATGCCCACGTTCCACCTGAAAATGAAGGTTAAAGTATTGCTTTCTTCATGAGATCATTCGAGAGATTGTTTGAATGAATCCATGTAAAGTGTTTAAAGTAACACATAGAAATTACTCAGATT